CACTCCTTCTTGTGCCCCAGAGCAGAGTGGTCAGCCACAAAGTTTGCTCCTAAGAAAGGCACCAAGCAACATCCAGACTTAATCAGTAACAAAAATGAGAAGGCCTCAAAGTATCTACCTGTCTGGGGCACCTGACTTTTATCGCCAGCCTGGATGGATCCTTTTACAACTCAGGCAACGCTTCATCTCTCCTGTACTATACTCACCTGGGTGCCCAGAGCAATTGGATGAGCATCTGCAGGGTGTGACCTTGGCTCTGGCATTTTCTAAAGCTTGCAGGTGATTCTAACCTGCGGCCAGGTGGGAACCAGTGCCCACCTGAGGTACAGCAGAGGATAACAGCTGAGTTGAGAGTGACTCACTGGCAGCCAGGTGAGGTGACTCTTCCCACTCCTTCTGCAGCTTGTGCCTAAAATAATCAGCATAATTAAGTTTAATATTAGAAGAAGCTTGGCAAGTTAAAAAAATAAAAAGTTACCAAACCTTTTCTTTTCCTTTTTCCTCCCTCATAAAGAACAACTGAGAAGCAGCCCCGTTATTGTAAAAGATTAGGAAGAGAAAGGACCTCTCTGCATCCCAAGGCTGGGAAATCTATTGTGGCTTCAACTTTGGCTCCTCAGTGGAGTTAAAGCTGCAGGTGCCCCACCCCTGACTGGGAGCTCTAAAAATACCGATGCCCAGGACTTGTTCCCAGATAGTCTGAATTAGTTGGTCTCGGCAGTGTTTTTCAGCCTCTTTTATCTCACGGCACTCTTGAACCTATAGTTAAACTTCTACATCACACTTAAATTATGTTGATCAAAAAAAAAAAAAGTAAGAAAAAGAGAAAGAACATACTGTGCTTTGAACTTCCTTTGAAAACAATTTAATTAATGATCTTTTAAAAAAATTGATAGCACACATAAGATCCTCTCATGGCACACCAGTTGAAAATCGCTGGGCTGGGGTATGGCCTAAATATCAGAATTTTTGAAAGCTTCCCAGGCAGTTCCAATGGGCAGCCAAGGTTGAGAACTGTTGATTTCACTATTAAAACCTTCCTGGTGTCCTTAATCTGGCTTTATCAGAATTACCTTTGGTCCTTTCTTTAAAATACCAGGCCCCACTCCCAGGGAGATTTTGATCTGGGAGGTCTCAGCTACAGTTGAGACCCACTGGGCTGCTTGGGGCTAAGATGTGCCATTCAGGAGCTCACTTAGGCCGTGACCTCGAGTCTCCCACATCTCCCCATATTGGGGACCCTTTCATTCAGAAGCATGGTGGGTCCCCTAACGCAGTGGGACTGGGATTTGAGTATTTGCAGCTGTGACACTAGGGTGACGGAGAGGCATTCTTGTTGGCATGGTCACTTTTCCTTAAGGGTCTGGGGAACTTTGCCAGAGCAATTTTGAGGCAGGACTGGTGCCGTAAGGCCCAGCATGCATGAATGGCAAATACTCCTCTGGTAGGAAAAAAACGTGGAAAGTCAGCAAAGTGTGACCCCGCTCTGGGGGGGTTATCTCCCTGAGTGAGTTAAGATGGCACTATCTGGGGTCACCTTTGCTCCTTGCCACATAGATAGCTGGGAAACCATCTGTGGCACAGTCAGCCCATCTCTCTTTTTTTTTCATCCAGTTTGTGTTTGTCTTTGAATCACTAGGTCAGGTGGTCTTAAAAACCAGTTTGCATTAACCCAGAACTTAGCTTTCATGGAAAGATTGTTAGTTTCTAAGCCTCTAGAAACTTTTGTTTCCTTATCTGTAAAAGAGGTATGTAATAACCCCAACTTTACATGTCAGTTGTGATTACTGGGATTAAAAGAGAGTTTATCTAGTGCCTGCTATAAACCATTATATGTGTATATTATAATTAGCATTTGGCTGCCACTGTTTTATTCAAATGGGATTTCTTGGAGTCCCCAATATTGATTTGTTAAGTCATAAAGTTTTCAGAACCAAGTAGTGGGTGAGATATTAGAATCCTTCTCTCCCAGGGCTTGCTGGTAGGAACGTTACAAGCTATCTGAAATTGTCTTGGGTGTTGACCTTCCTAGACCCTGGGCCTTTCTCAGAAGATTTCTGCAAATTCTCCCTCCTCTAGGAGGAAGCAGCCTGAAAACTTCTACAGAGAATTCCTGTTGGCTTGACTGTAGCTCCTGGCTAGAAACCTAACAATCCACTTCACAGCCCGGGCACCCAACCCCCAGTGTTCAGTGTTCAGACCAGAGGTTTTTGCAGAGCTCACTTGGCCTTGCCCTGCAGGAGCAAGGAGGCTGGTCTCAAGGGAGGCTGGTCTCAAGGGAGGCTGGTCAGAGAAGTGCTAGCAGATTATAGGGCATAATCCAGGAGTGTTCTAAGAAGGAGAAGCAGGGTAGGGAGATTCATTGAATGAGCTATAGAAAAATGGATGAACTAGTCTATAAATTACATCTTTTTAGTTGGATGTGGCCCTTGAAATGGAGTCTGATTAGGAAAGAGGGGAATAATATTCCAGGTGGCATAGACAGCAGGAGCTGAGATGGTCAAGTGGGGGGTTAATCATTCGTTCTGCAGGTGTGTCCCTGGGTCCCTGGGTGCCAGGCACTTTGCTAAGGGCAACATATTAACACTGGGCTAGTGGCAGGGGTGACAACTTGGCTGTCTAGAACCTAGATGGTAGGAGACGAAGTGGAAAGATTAGGGCCCTACATGGAGAGAGTGTAAAATACCACATAGAGGAAGCCCACAACTCGGGTGGTGCCTCTGGAAGGAAGGGGAGCCATCTGGGTGCAGGGAGAGAACTTGAGGATGGGGTAGAGGAGTGGCCTTCTGCAAACTGCACTGTATAAGCATCTAGTCTGGTCCCCTATAAGCTTCCCTCTCTGGGAAAGGGTCAGTACCTATAGGATGAGCTGTTTCTCAGCTTTTGCCTTAATGCAATTTTGTTATTAAAATCAAAACAAACAAGAACTGAAAACGAAAACTTATTGCATCCCATAGCCCCTTAGCTCGGAGAGTTGGTGTCCTTATCCAGAGTTCTATGATCCTTTTCTAAGAAAAGTTTTCTTACTAGAGATCTCCCTCCCCACTTTCTACTTTCTCTCTCTTCTGTCCAGAGCCTGCTCTCTTCCCCTCAGGTGTTAGAGAAGTCTACATGGCAGTTTTTATCCTGTAGGCCCTCTTTGCTTCCTTACTTACCAAAGACTGCAAGCTCTTTGCACCTTGCTAAACCTAAAGCTCTCAAACCACTTTTACCCTTTTAAGATTAGAGGCTAAACCAAAAGCCAGATTGGATAAAGAGCTTACTCTGTGGCCTTCTCACTCCCTGTGCAGTATGCAGGGGGAGCAGCCAGTAAGTGAGAGAGACCCCAGACTGCAGGGGCAGAGGACCTGAGTACGAATTCATTACCAATCCCTAGCAGGCTGTGTGCAGGCAGATAAATGACTTGGCTTTTAAATATAAAATAACCCCTAACAGAAGATCAAGTGCCTGAATTCAAACTAAAAAATGTCTTTACATAAGGTAAAGGTATATGATAAGGTATATGACAGTTGTGCTTTGAGATAGGGAGAGTGAATGACTTTTCCATTAAGCATCATGAAAGATGGCTTGTCTACCAGGCATCCCAGACTATAGCCTTGAGCAGCAATTTTTTCAACATCTCTTGTTTGCCATAAATCTTAAACCCATACAATCCCTATTCCTTTCACATTAAAATGTTTAAATTTTTGTTAACATTGGGCAAAATCTGTGCTCCAGGAAAATATACCATATGTATCCTGTGGTTCCAAGACCCCTCTGACTTCCCAGGTCCAGCAGCCCAGGAGCACAGGGTTAGGGGAGTCAGAAATGTAGTTCTTCTGCCACCAGCCCTGCCAGCCCCCAGGCTAGCAGGCACACCAGGACCTTCATCCCCTTTCAGTTTTCCTTCTCTTCAAAGGCCTTAAGCCATGAGTGCCATGTTTGGAGTTTTGGGGGGGGAGTGGTGATGAGCGGGAACAAAACAAATTTTTAAATCCAGCACATGACAAAAGGCTGCCCCTCAGGTACATTCCCTATGGGAAGGCCACCCACCTGTGACAGAGGTGGTGATCAGACATTTTTATTGACAATAAGAATGTCACCCCATACCAAATGGACCAGTGTCCAAGCTCAGTATTTTCTATGAGAATCATTTGCTTAGAAGGTGGAGGAGCCTGCAAAAGAAAATGACCAGCGTTGCCTTCTGGCCAGGGTACATCCTTAAGCACCTTCAAGTGAAAGTCACTTGTGTGTAGCCACAGGCTGTTATTGAGAGACTAATGTTGAAGGACCTCTAAGCAGTAGCAGTACAGGAATACTGTCACCTGGTATTGGCACAGCACTGTACAGGGTACACATACATTCAAGCATGACCTCTCTCGTGCCTTCACGAGGCCTAGAGTGGAGGTGGGCCAGTGCTGTTAGATGCAAGCAGACCAGGGTTCACAGAAGTCACCTGCAGTGACTTCTCCAGTCCAATAGTGACCAGGTAGTAGTGCTGGGCCCTCCTGCCCATCTACTTCCAGATGTTTCCCACAGACCAGGCAGAATTAATTCTACCTGATGATAAAAAAGCAAAACCACAGCCTGTGTCTCCAGATGAGTTAGCATGTTTTCTTTCTCTTATCATCAGAAATTCCGAAAATACACATTTGGTTTAAAAATAACCTAGATTTTTATGAACTGCCAAAATGAAGTTCACATCCTAAATGCATTTGCTGCCTTTATGCCCCCACAGTAGCAATAATCATGGAGCATCTCAACGGTGGCCGCCCTTACCCAGATAACGAAGGTGATTATTTTATCACCTTCATCATCTGGTGACTCCTTCTCCAAGCCAGTGATGGCTGTGGCAGGGAAGTAGGAGATAATCTTCTGATACTTATGCTTCTAATAGAAAGGATAGTGGGGCCCCTTTGGGATTTTCCTGCAGGCTCTACATCCCTCCAGCCCAGCCTTCTCAGGGGACCTGGGGAATGAGACCTGTCAAGACAGTGCACTGATGTTCCTTTTCTCCCCAGTTGCCATTCTGGGTACGTGGGTGCACGTTGTGAGCACGCGGATCTCCTGGCCGTGGTAGCCGCCAGCCAGAAGAAGCAAGCCATCACCGCCTTGGTGGTGGTCTCCATCGTAGCCCTGGCTGTCCTCATCATCTCATGTGTGCTGATACAGTGAGTATTTACTGTCCCCAAGGTCTTTCCTGTACCCCTTGCCTACCTGCCTACCCTACCAGGGCTATCCGCAGCACATCCAGAAAATAGAGCCACCTCAGCACAGCTTGTTGTTGTGATGTCTGAGCAGTGTCAGCAAGGCTAAGAGGTGCTTTGATGACTCTTGGCATGACATGAAGCCAAGCTATGTAAAGGCCTCACATATCTTGGGCAGGTCCCCAGTGTTGTGTCTGCAACTGCAGGGGGCCGGCACACTGCAAGACACGCTCTTTCTCTCCATGGCTGGGTGGAGCCTTCCAAAGAGTGATAAAACGTGCAGGCGCTCAGGAGAGAACCAGGAGCAGCTCCCAGCCTCCTTGGAGCAGTAGCAGAAGTGCTTCCTCTCTGCAGAAGAAACTTTGCAAATCCTAAAGCCTTGAGAGGGGCCACTCTTGCTATTGTTACAAACTAATGGCCAGAACTCTGAAAGCTTATACCCTCTCTCCACTTCTGCTCCTCCTCATCCTCCAAAACTCAGTTTCTATGTTACATCTTCCAGGAAGACTTCCTGAACCCTAGACTGAGAGCGTCCCCTTCTAGATGGGTCCCAGCCGCATTAGCTTTCCCACATTTCCTGTGTAGACACTCTGCAAGGGCAGAAACTCTGAGAGGACTATGCCATAGTCCCATCGTGTGGCACTATGCCAGATTTACTCCCTGGAAATACCTGAAGTCTAAGTCACACAGTAGGCTCTCAGTTACGTCTAACTGGATATGCACAAGGAATCCCAGAGCACTTAAAGGCTACCACTCAGTTCAGAGTAGATTAATTTATGATGGAGAGAGCAGATGAGCCACTCTGGCAAGGGGTGGAGTAAACAGCTATGGGTTGATGTGGGAAGCCAGACTTAACCCCTCTGAGGATGCCTAGGATTTGGACAGATAAATAAGAAACTGTCTTGTTGGTTTGTTGCTACAGGACCATCTGAATGAAGCATATGCCCCTGGTTCTAGTAATAAATGGGGTGTCCCTGAGAGCCCCTGCTGCTTGACAGTAGCCATAGCTTGCTCACACCCTGCTGCTGGACAGCATTAAGTGGTGAGGGATGAAGTGTGAAGTGGATTCCGCCCACCTTCCCACCCAGGCAATACCTATTCCACTCCCAGTGGTCCAGGGAAAACATGTTTGCAAGGAGAAAATAGCCCTGGCTCAGGCTGGGACACAGCTAGGGCTCTGCTGCTCAGAAGGACTCTCCCTAAAGGAGCAGGAACGGGCTACAGGGCTGCCAGCCTCTCTTCTCATGGCCAACTAGCTGTGTGTGCTTGCCTGTCCTTTTATAGTCTGTTTCTGTGGCCAGGAAGGTCCCAGAGATTTAGGAACAAGACTGAGAGCCCACATGGGCCTCCTAAGAAAGACCTAAAAGCTAGTTTTCCAGACTTTCTAGAGATAGGAATGATCTAGACTCCTAGATAGCATCTCTCCTTCCCAGGGAGTCAGCCAGTCCCTCCTCTGCTGTCTCTTCCCAGCCTGTCCCTGCCAGAAACCAAGTTCAGAATCCATGAACCTGAGAATCAGCCCTCACTCCTATCAGGCTGCAGGTCTTCCAGGTGTGGAGCTCCCCAGAGTTGCAGAGTTCCAGTTGGGACCAGCTTATCTGCAGGCCTGATCCCACTGGGATTTTCCTGTCTGGAAAGTCACTGGGGCAAGCCCACCAGGCTAGCTGACTGCAGGAAACTAGTCATTAAAGGGTCTGAAATCAGTGGGAGGTTTTGTTTTCGTGCTAATTCTGAAAACTGTCCATTACTGCCCACAGAGGGAGGCAGGAGCCTTCATAATCCTGATGCTTCAGGACTCTGGGCTATACAAATGTACAGGGAGGTTGCACGTCTCAAAACTAGAGAATTTTAGTCCTTAAAGAAGGATTCAAAGTCTTTTAGATCCGTGATTCACTCATTTTTCCATGGGTCAGTTCAGCCCATCCAAGTTCCCTGCTTTGCTACTGTCAAGAGCTGATAAATAACCTTTTCCTAACCCCTCACCACTCTGCCAGCCGAGGTGGCTGCTTTGTCTGAGTAAATATGAGCCATTACTACATATATGGAGTTACCGACCTATAGAGAAAGCAGTAGCAGGTGGCCAGTTCCCTCTGACGGCTGGGAGAAGCTGGACCAGGATGGCCTGTGGAAATGGAGCTGGTACTGTGGGGCAGCCAACAGGTGCTTTTGTTGTTGTCCAGCATCTATCCCAAAGGACCACCGCCCTGCAAGGCCATCAGCCTCCTCAGCACTTGTTCCTCTGGAGGTCTCCCCAGGGGAAGGCTGTTTCAGAGCCCAGAGCTGCCCAGCAGGCTCCTCGGGCAGATGCTGCACCAGCCAAGCCCTCCTGCCAGGCTCCTGCCCAGACAGTATCTTCTGTCTCCACAGCTGCTGCCAGGTCCGAAAACACTGTGAGTGGTGCCGGGCCCTTGTCTGCCGGCACGAGAAGCCCAGCGCCCTCCTGAAGGGAAGGACCGCTTGCTGCCACTCAGAAACAGGTAAGGGGACTTCTCTCCCTTGAGAGACATTATTGGGTAAAGAAAACGATCACCTTTCCCAAGTTGGAGGAGACATTCCTGGAGGATAAAGCAGAAAGAGGCTATTTTATTCTACCAAGGTGAGTTTAGTTTATTCTAAGGTGTGTTTTACTTAGAGGGAAGCTCTTTTATCCTGGCTGTGGTTGTGTGACCTTTGACAAATTACTTAACCTCTCAGAGCCTCAATTTTCTTTTTTTTTTTTTTTGAGACAGAGCCTCACTATATTGCCCTTGTTAGAGTGCTGTGGCATCATAGCACACAACCACCTCAGACTCTTGGGCTCAAGCAGTCTTCTTGCCTCAGTCTCCCAGAATGAGTTTTCTTATTCTTAAAAAGATTTCAAATTGAATGAGTATTGATATGAAATATTAATACCTTGTATAATGTCTCAGGAATCAACAAGTGTCCAACTGTCTCTTGAAAGTCACTTCTCCTTTCTCAGGGGTAAAATGAGGGATTGGCCTATAGAAGGTCTCTAAGGACCCTTCAGACTCTTAGATCCTGTGATCTTCATTAAATTTACCATTGTTCATGAATATTTTCACCAACATCCATGAATATGGGACAACTGGATGTGGGGGCAGACTTGTGTCTCAAAAGCCTTTATCTTGCTCTGGGCTCATGGAGTTGATCAAATAACTCCTTTATCCACATAAGCCAGAGGGGTCTCACTCACATCAATAAGCTCTTTTGGCATGCTGTTTGACCAAGAGAGCCCATCATAACTAACTTAAAGTTCCTCTCAAGGTCATAGTGGCTCAAGAGACAGTTACCAAAGGCCGATTCACCCTAGAGGTGTCCTTCCCTAGTAAAGATTGTATTCTAGAAGTTCCAGCATGTGTGGAGAGATCGGGGAGGCAAGAAGTTGGGAAGCTGGACACTCATGTGGCCACTAAATCTCCTGGTGATCTGAGCTGGAGGGAGTTGAAGGCCCAAGAGCACCATTTGTTTGTTCTTCACTCAAGTGACCAGAGTATTCATCCACGTAAACAAGCACTCAGTAACTGCACGAGAACACTGCTTTAGGTTTAGGAGACCCACAGCTCTTAAGGAGTGAATCCATTCATTTTTACAGTGGCTTTAAGAGGATGGTGATTCGCGAGTGATGTGGGTAAACTGAGTCTGCTGAAGACTTGTTTGGGTCCTACCATGTATCCGTGGGGGAGCTAAAGTGAGAATCTGGCTCTCTGAGGACCCCACTCACATCTCCCTTCCACTGTTTTGGGCTAATCCACTGAGCTAATGAAGGTAAATATTTTTTTAAGCACCAATAGAAGAATATCTAAATCTTTTAAGAAAACTTGCAGTCTGAACCTCAGCAGAGGCATTTGGTGTAGAAAAAGCTTCTTGTTAATGGTGCTTCTTCTCTACCCACATTTGAGAAGTAGCTCTGAGCCTCTCAGTAGGTCTGGCCTCTCAGTGATGGCCACCTGGGCTGAAGTCCTCCCTGAGGTGAAGCACACCTCCGTGATGTCGTGGAGCACCAGCTAGGCCTGCGGCGGGAGGGACAGGTGAACTGGGGCTGCTCACACATGAGCCCTGCTGGAGCACACCAGCAGTGATTCACTTCTGGGCCAGGGTACCCCCATCCCTTACCCCAGAGGAACAACAAAAGGGACCAGGGGCCAGGGTAGGACAGTGCCAAGCTGGGCTAGACTCAGGAGCTGAGGACTGTGTCCATGCTGCCTCACCACAACAGCCACAGAGGATATGCTCAGGGCCCACTCATTGAAAAATAAATGGATCCATTCTTGAATGGCCTTAGGGAAGCTGAACCAGTTCATGAGCTGCCCATCATGGCACCCGTTACCAGGGAACTGGCCACAGGCTGGGTGGAATTGAGGCCCTCTACAGGGTGCATCTCCCCACCCACTTCCTTCTACAACTGGTTCACTTTCAGTCCACCTTTCTGGCTTCCTGTGGCACTGAAAGCACAGTGTCACAAGTTGTGGTCCCTGAGGTTAAACCAGCAGAAGCTGGACTCAAGCCTAACTTGCCCAAGAGAACCTGGTGACATTGGCTGATGTCATCTCCAAGTCTCTATCCCAAACTTGTTTTCCTAACCTGGCTGGGGTCTGGCCCAAGTGCTTAACCTGTTTTTCCTTCCTGCCAGTGGTTTGAAGAGCCCAGAGGAAGAGTTTGGCCAGGGGGACTATGTGGCAGCCCTATGAAGAAAGAACTTCTTGAGGACAGGACTGCCAGAGGTGCCTGGATGTGCTGGCAGACCTTTCCTACTTTGCCTGTGATCACCCATGCAGCCTTTTTGTCTTCTGTGGGTCTTCAAAACTCTGTCAAGAACTCTGTCTGCTTGGGGTTATTTGGTGTGACCTAGAGAAGAAACCAGTGGGCCACAACTTAAAGACTAGTAAAAAAGAACTGCAAAGAGGTGGACTCCTGTTTACATAAACGAGGTGTGTACATCAGTCCGTGTCTGAGTCCAGGTGTGCACAATTGTCTTTGCCAGGCGTGGATTCTGGGCTATATTTCTTTTTCATGGGATACCTCCCCGCAACAGAATCCTGCCCAACATGGGAGACTTCTGTAGTTGTTACAGTTTTCTCTCACCTGCTTATTGGGGAAGAAAGTGGAGAAGGAGAAACTACTTATTGTTACATGAACTTTAAAAGGAGCCATGTTCCCTGGCTGCAAGACCCTCAGCCAGCCCAACATCTTCCATGGACACATGATATTGAAGACCGTCCCATGCTGTCACCACCCTCAGAGATAATTTCTTATTTATTAGACTGATAATGGTTTTATTTTTAATCTCTTAAGTCAATGTAAAAAGCATAAAACCCCTCAGACTTCTACATTAATGATGTATCTATTGCTGTACTGATTACAAACTCTGGCCTCTTTGACACAGATCAGGCTTGGGGAAAGCCTTCTGGGGGTATGGAGATGGATGAGTTGCTCATTAGGAACAAAGATTGGGGTTCAGCAGCCGTGCCATTTAAGACACAAAGTAGGTAAACGCCCTGATGCATTCTGGTAGAAAAGTTAGCCAAAGCAGTAACAGGGATCTGCCCCCCTCTGTTGCAGGAGAGAAGAAAGGAATACCTGTGTGTGTCTGCACGGTATAAACACAATTCATGCTATCCTGCTCAGTGATTAAATGGATTCAGTGGATTCGCTTCCTCGTGAGCCCCCTAAGAGGATATTTAGAAATAGGGCATTAGCAGGCAACTGTGGGCATTTCAGGCTGAGGCCATTAAAGAGGGACCAGTCACTTATTTTCCATTTTGTTGCTTGGTTGGCTTGTTGCTTTATTTCTAAAAGGAGAAATGTAACTTTCCTATTTATTTTCAAACATTAAATATTCCAGTGATTTTTTTTCTTTTCCATTCAGGATTCTAATTGTATTAACAAAAACTCATTTGACAAGCCACCTCTACCGTGTAGGTCTTGCTTTCTCCTCAAGAGGAGGAGAAACTGTTCTCTTGAGCATCTGGGTCTGGTCTGACCCCGTGGGGCTGTGGGAAGCAGTGGATTATGTCAAATAAAATGGGGAGTGCGTCCGTAGGGGTTTTCATTAAAACTTGGAAACAGAATAACAATGAAATAATGTATAAACTCTCTGTGTGAGGAAACTCTTTATTCACTAATACTTGAAAAGTGAAAGCTTTCCTTCTGTTAACCCTACTAGCTTATCATACCGTGAAAGAGGCATTTAAAATATATCAAGTTGGCTTGAAATTTCTCTCAGAAAATTTTGTCCTCTGCCTAATATTCCCTGGTCTGGAAGAACCATTTCCATGCATTTTCTCTTTATTTTTTATAAATGAGACAACGATGTGACCCGTGTCTTATCTTTGGCTCTCGACTTAATGATGCCACCTGAAACGCTACGTGCAGAAATCAGATCTGTTCAGAGCTGGCCCTCTAGCAATGTCAGTTACAAGCTCCAGGTTTATTATTGAACAAAATAGGTGTGAGTTTCCATTCCTTGAGCCAGTCTTACAGCAACAGATAATGTGGGCTGAGGCTTGACTGTAGACTATAGCGTCCTACTCACAGACCAGTCAGTTGACACTGGTTCTTAGACCCCATCATCAATTGGCTTTCAAGAGACTTTGCAGGAGGTATGAGAAGATGAGGATGGGAAGAACTTTGGAGAACTTCCAGTTCTCGGGTCTAGCAAGTTGCCGCTGCTGGTGCCCCTTCCCCATGCCTGTACACCCAGGCAGCCAATGGGCTCAAACACATGCCTCCCTAGAAGTGCCTTCCAGGTCAGTCCTTTGTAAACCCAGCAGGTCTGAAAAGGGTTGAAAGCAGTGGTGGATCTAGGCAGGCCTGGTTGGACCATTGTCCACACCCCAGGGTAGGATAGCCTTGCTCTCTGGTGATTTCTCCCTCAAAAATCACATGACTGACAGACAATGGCTTCCTCTACCATCTCAGGGCAGTGGTCATTGTTTCACTAACTGTAAAATACGTTCCCTTTTCAGGCTAAAAATGCATTTTCTAATATACCTCTGCATGTTCCCTGTGTGTCCTTGCCCTTTTTGAAGATGTGTTCATTACAATTAGAGAATCTTTCCAGAGGCTTGACCTGTAAGCAGCCACATCCCTAGCAATAGGGAACATAGCTGTTTCCAACAGCTCTGGGGACAATGCAAAGCCCCCATTTTAAAAAATCAATTTTTTAAAAGGCTTCCAAATCTTTTATGGAGCCTGGGTTCTCCTGCTACTCCACAGGCTCCAACTTCTTAAAGCATATTGGGCAGAAACATTTTCTTTTACGTGAAAAGACAGACAACAACTAACTTTGATGTAGGACACAGAGCCCAGCTGGACCCATGTGGAACAGAGCAGGGGATAAGTTTGCTATTGTTTCCCAGCAGAAACAATGAGCAGAACAGCCCTAGAGTCCTTTTACCTGAGAAAGGAGATGAAGGTGGGACTATCACACACATACCCACATTAGAGAGGGTGGAGAATTTGTGGATCTGAGGCTTCTTGAGAGATTGTGCTTTGCAGGGATAGAAAACCGCCTGATATCTTCAGACTAGGTGTTTCAGGGCACATTGGGCACCAGCTGTTTTTTCATGCAACTTGGCAGAGAGGGACCAAGGAGATAACACTGCCCCCCCCCCAATCCCTTAGTAGGCTTTGATCTCTCCCAACCTGCGCAGCCCAGGGAGGTGGAATGATTGAAAAGTCTAGGACCAAGTGGACATCACAGAAACAAGACAAATGCATGTTTTTAATGTCCTAACATAAGACCTATTCTTTCTAGCCATTGATTTTTCAGGCTCCTGAAAGATTTAGTGGTTACACACACACACACACACACACACACACACACACAGAGGCAGAGGGCTGAAAAGCAACTCCTCTTCCTAATGTAGTAACTTACTGAAATGTTCAACTTTTTATTATCTTTATGGTAACAAACCTGATGCTTTTTTTTAGAACTCATTACTCTGACTTCTGTATATGTTGCACTGAAAAGGTTAATATTTAATGTTTTAATTTATTTTGTGTGGTAAGTTAATTTTGATTTCTGTAATGTGTTAATATGATTAGCGATTCTTTTCCGTAATATCTGAATTATACTTAAAGAGTAGTGAGCAATGTAAGATGCAGTTGTTTTCAGTAATGTGCATTTTGTTGTTCAATTGTACTGTACCTTATTTGGAAGGATGAAGGAATGAAGCCTTTTTTTCCTAAATCAAGACTGGAGTTTTTCTTTAACGAGATTGGGAGATTGCTGAAGCGAGTGAAAATTTTTCTCTGCGAATATGAATGATGAGGAAAGACTGAATGATCATTTGCAAAATGTGGAAATCCTAAAACTAGTCATAGTTGATCCCTGTCTGCTTGAAGAAATCAAGTTCTTTGAAATTCTTCCCTGCACATAAGTATTTAATCTGCTGTGTGTCCAACAATGCTAACTGATGTGGAGGAAAATATATAACACTCAATCCCTGCCCTAAAGGAATTGAGATCTGGCTGGGAAGACAAACTAAACTGATATGCAGAGAATAACTCTGGACTATTCCTAGACAAACTACAAGTAACCAGGGAATTATAAGGTGGTGGGTATATGTTAACAGCTGTCATTCTCAGAGTGTGGTCCCAGACCTGCAGCTGCAGAATCACTTGGGGACTTGTTAGGAATGCAAATCTTTGGGCCCCAGCCCAGACCTACTAAACCATAGGGATGCCCCATAACCCCTCTGCCCTGCAGATGATTCTGACACCTGCTCAAATTTGAGAACCACTGCACTATAGGACTCAGGGAAGGGACAAATAGTGTGGGGATACAGTTTTCAGGAAAAGGTTTGAAAAGGCTTTGCCGAGGAAGTGAAACCTAACACAGTTTACCCCTGGGGGTTCAGATTTCATAGCCATCAGAAAGTGTGGCCTTGAATGAAGGCTTGCATTTATCTGGATCTCTGCTCAGGCTAGTTGAAAGGAAAAATGGACCTGTCCATCTCCCACCATACCCCACCCACCCCAGGCTCACCCACCCCTGCTCCCCACTGCCCTGTCTCTAACTATAAGAAATTGTTCTGAAACTATCAACCCAGGTTTCAGGTCTTACAAACCCATAGCAAAGCCTCTGCACTTCTTTTTTAATTATTATTATTTTGGGTTAATATACGGGTACATGTGATTAGGTTACATTATTTGCATTTGTCAAGAAAAGTCCCAGTTGTATTTGAGTCCTTCCCACATGAAGTGAGCCATATACCCCTACATTGTACCTGTTAGGTGGGAGCTTACTGAGCCCTTTCCCCACTTCACCTTTCTTGAATTTGTGTTTTTCTCTCGTGTGGGCCTGTGGTTGTTCATCTACTAGTTGGAAATTAGTATTGAGTACATGGGATGCTTGCTTTTTCCATTCTTGAGATATTTTACTAAAGAGAATGTTCTTCAACTCTATCCTTGTAAATACAAAAGATTTAAAGTCTCCATCTTTTTATGGCTGAAGTATTTCATGGTATACATATACCACAGTTTATTAATCCATTTGTGGGTTGATGGGCTCTCGCACTTTGGCGATCGTGAATTGAACTGTTCTAAACATTCTAGTGCAAATGTCCTTATGGTAAATGATTCTTTTTCTTCTGGGTAGATATCTAGCAATGGGATTGCAGAATCAAATGGAAGGTCTACTTTTAGCTCTTTCAGGATTTGCCATACTTCTTTCCACAAAAGCTGCATTAGTTTGCAATCCCACCACCAGTGTATATGTGTTCCCCTCTCTCCATACTCGTGCCAGTATCTGCAGCTCTGGAACTCTGTGATGTGGGCTGTTCTCACTGGGGTTAGGTGATATCTCAGGGTGGTTTTGATTTGCATTTCTCTGATGCTTAGGGACAATGAGCATTTCTTCATGTTTTTGTTGGTCATTCTTTTCTCTTCTTAGAAGGTTCTGTTCATTTCTCAACCAGTGATTAATTGGGTTGTTGGCTCTTGTTGATTCGCTCAAGTTCTCTATAGATTTTGGTTATTCACCCATTGTCATGTGAGTATCTTCTCTCATTCTAAATCTTGTCTATTTGCTTTGTTTATTGTGTCCTTAGATAGCAACAACAAAAATAAATGGGACCCAATCACGTTTAAATGCTTCTGCACAGACTCTGCCCTTCTAACTTAGGTGTGGGACTCATATGTGCAACATATGAGGAGCTAATGAGAATAAGTGAAGGGTGAAATAGTTGCTGAATAGCATGAAATCTTGGTCCCCAAAGAAGGTTCAGCTCTTTGTAGCAAGGAATGAAAATGTAGACCATTTTTCCAGGCCCCAAAGGGCTCTGAATCAGCCTAACATGGAAAGATGGAACTTGGTCCTGAGTTC